TCCTACGCCACTCGAGATTTCACGTGTCTGTAATTTGTCCTGCACGTTAATTTTGGGCTTGACGCTACCAACTGGTTCTGCGAAAAATATGCAAAGTATTGTCATAAATCATGAAAATAGTATCTGAAAACAACTGAATGATGTTGTGGTAAACTGTAAAGCTGACTTCTAAAAATTGTGTTAAAGAATTTTAGAAAATTACACATTTGTACCTAAAAGCTGGCATTGGGTAGGATTGCGCGAGGCAGAGTAGCGCATAATTGCGACTCAGTTCGACATCGATAAATTGATGTTTGTCCTGCAATTGTACCTTAGGACGTACGCTGGCAACTGGTTCTGGTTAACAAATAAATATTTTCACCGATAAATTATAGTTTTTGTATAATCTACATGGTTGAAAACTATGTAAAACTGCCTGAAAGTATGCTTTGCATTTTTCAAAAACGATTTGTTGCGAGCGTCTACAGTTACACACCTGAAAATGGGCACGGGATATGACTGCGCGGGACAGAATATAGCGCTACTACTGCCACTGGCAATTTGATTCACTTTAAAGCGTTCGAGAAATGTGATTTTCGGTGCAACGCTACCAACGGGTTCTGCAAAAATGTTAACGATTAATTTAAACGGCGTTAAAATCTGACTGATTTGCTGGGATATGGTGCTTTTAAATTCAAACAATAGTACAAATTAATATTTTAAATTAGCAGCAATATCAATTGAGTCCTCAAGTATAATTACCTAAAAATTGGCTGTGGATATGCTTGTGCGGGACACAGCAAGCTTAAACCTTGATTCTGTTTACCCTTAACATGTTTTAAATCTTCACCGATACTAATTTTGGGACTAACGCTGCCGACAGGTTCTAGAAATTTATAAATAATTGTTGCAATAAATATCTTTTTTTTTTCAAAAATATTCATGAAAACTGCCTACAATTCTTTGCAAAATTCCAAATTTCAATAATGATAGTAATAGTCAAACGTGAGAACGATATGCAAATGGTGCGTGTGAACATATCTTCATTAGTCATTTAACAATCAATATTTACAGGACTGGCGCATTACTAACTATTTATACTCGACATGTTGAATGAATTTGAACTTTCAAACTGACAAAAAAATACTCAAGAAATCGATTTTAAAGGATGATGGAAGTAAAAATATTCAATTTAGATAAGCTTATTTCATAATACCTGAAAACCGGTGTGGGAAATGCTTGAGCTGGACAAAGTAGGCTCAAACTGCAAGCGCCCTTGGATTTTATGTGATTATAATCATCACCAGAATTGATTTTGGGGCTAACACTACCAACAGGTTCTGCAATAACAAATAACTAACATTGAGAGCCGTTCATAAGTGGTAGGAAAACTGCCCGAAGATTGGCATTCAAATGCCTAAATATGCCTATATAGAAGCTGGTATATTTTAGTTAGTAATTTACAAAATTCAGAAAACATAACCTAAACAACGGCACGGGATATGCCTGCGCTGGACAGAGTAGCGTTACGCTTTGGCCTTTATATATTTTTACGGTACGTGAATCGTCACCGGAAGTTAGTTTTGGTGACACACTACCAACGGGTTCTGAAGCATTTTATATAAACAAATGAATAGTACAATGAAGTATCGTGAAAAAATTTTGATTTGTTGGGATAGGATAAAACTTAAACTGATGAAATTAATATTAAGTTTTACCTAAAAAGGGGCACCGGGTAGGCTTGAGCTGGGCACATTAATGTTGCACTTTGTACAATAGATATTTTTGGAATTTTTATTGCATCATCACCAGCAGTCATTTTAGGGCTAACACTACCAACGGGCTCTAAAGAAAGCATTTAAAATATATATTGTACTTTAAATGGTTCAAAGCACATTTAAAGCTTTTGGAAACTTGTTGAATGTTGGAACAATCTCTTCATACAAATTATAATCAAAGGCAAGATAGCGATTTGATTTTTGTAATCTACCTAAAAACTGGCACTGGATACGCCTGAGCCGGACACAATAGGGTCACGCTATGGGTCAATGGCACGCGTATAATTTTTATGTTCTCCTCATTTGCAAAAATTTTGGGACTCACAGAGCCGACAGGTTCTAGAAAAGATATAAATCATGAATGAAATTGTGAAAATTATTAAAAACTTATTTGATTGCATAAAACTGTTGTTGGGATAGCCTTAATTATGCATTATTGTTATTAGAGAAATGCTATTACCTAAACAAAGGCACTGGATAGGCCTGTGCAGGACAAAGCAATGTGGCACTTTTGGTACAATCAATTTTTACGATACGTGATTCATCTCCCGAAGTAAGACGTGGACCAACGGTACCGACGGGCTCTAAAGCAAACAATGAAAACTTCATAAATGGAGGAAATATGCAAAATATGGTGGTTTCAAATTATGGTGTTGGAATAGGTTAAACTCTGCGGTTGGGATTGCCTCAAATCTCATGAGAGTCTTTATTTATACCCAACTTGCTTCAGTAGACCAAAACATATATAATTCTAGTTAAATAATTCTTGATTTTTGAGGCTGTTATATCCAAATCCACGAATATGGGAGGGAATGCATACAAAACATACGCTTACCGAAATATTGGCACCGGATAGGCTTGCGCAGGACAAAGTAACGTCACAGATTTATTACCAGGGGTGATAATCACTTTTATATCATTGCCGGATAGTAGACGTGGACCAACGCTACCTACAGGTTCTACAAATACGATATATGCAGGTACGATGAGTGTTATTCAAAAAGCGGAAGTAAAAGCGAGCTACGAAAACTGTTTGACTGCTGAAATGGTCTACTTCAACGGATTTATTAATATCCAAAGACCAAAATGCTATTTTATATAACTGTCTTAATTAACTAAATGCTACTAAATCAGGGACACACCTAAACATTGGCGCTGGATAGGCTTGGGCTGGGCACAGAAGTGTGACGCCCGCTCTTGCGGCCGCTGTAAAGCTGCTACTCGTTTGCACAGTGGGGAATTTCGGCGATACCCTGCCAACCGGTTCTGCAAATTAGTTTTTTTAAATATATATTCATTTAGTGTAGTCTTAGCTCAAAAATTTATGCGAGCCTTACAATAAAATATTGCACATTTAATATTTAGTTATGTACATTTAAAGTATTTATTTATTTAAAAAGTATGATATTTAGTATGAATCCGCACTTACCTTGCACTTTTGGAATTTTTGCTAAGGATAAAGGTACGAATTTCGCAAGTATTTTGTTATTTTTTTCAATTTTCGCTCAGCACACAGTGGAACAAAATGTAATAAAAAATTTACTTTTTTGTTTTAAATGACAAAATGCTCCAGTTGTTCAAGCTCAAGTCAGGCAAAAAATTTAATGTATTTGAAATTTAATTTAACATTTAATATTTCTTTAGAAATGTATTACTTATAATACAATTAAATTCTTTAGTTTTATTTTCACTTCAATTCGCGCGACAGTTTACCCTATCCCAACATTCAGGCAGTTTTCAATGCATGCTAAGGGAGCAACAATTTTTTGATGTTACCGCGAGAATTTTTTTTATTGTTTAATTGAAGAGATTAGTTAAACTACAAATGTCTGAAATACTTCAATTATATAGTTGATATAGTTTTACTAATTAAATTGAGAATTTTTATTTTTTTTAAATTGAAATTTTTTTATTTTTTAAATTATTTTTTTTGTGAAAATGTATTGTATTTTCGCAGCAAAAAAAAAGATTTTAAGCTGAAAATCTTTTTGATTGCTTTTTTCCTTTTACATAATTAGATCAAAAAGTTGTTGCTTTAAATACTTCATATAGCTTAATAATAAAAAATGTACATTGAGTATTATATATATTCTTAATATGTTTAGCAGCAGAAAAAATATTTTTAATTTTTTTATAAGCAACGAGTGTTAATATTTAAAGTCAGATTAAAAATTTGTATTAATTAATAAAATTCAAATTTTCAATATTTAAGAACCAATAGGTTTATATTTTTTCTGTTGGAAACGCTTACACATTGCATAACCGTGTATATTTGACAAATGTTATAATACATACTTAGTTAAATAGTTTTAGAGCAAAATTAAATTTTTTTAGATTTAATTCTTTTTATGTACACAATTATGCAATTTTTTTAAATATAAGCCTAATGCTGCAACGGTTATAATAAATACGTTTAAATTTTCATAAATTGAAAAACTGTCGCGTCGTTTTGCAAATTTTATTATTATTACTTTTTTACTTTTGTTAAATTTTCAGTATTTTGTTTTTCCAACTCGACCACAGTAGCAACAATTTTATTTCCGTTGCAGCTGAAGGTCATGTATACATATATGTACAATATATATATAAGAAGCTAAAATGAAAACATTTTACCAAAACCAATAGGAATAATACAATTATAGAATGCAAATAAATTCATAACTTTTATAGCCATTGGTAAAATATTTTTATTTCAAATATTCGAAAATCCAGATCTCACATTTTTTGTGCTGTACATATTCATATATTTGAATGACATATTTTTGTAAAAACAAAAGTTAAGCATTAAATTATTTTTGAAAAATTCATATATTTCATCATTATCTTTTTACAATTTAGTTTAGTCAAGAACTGAATTTTCGCCGTTTAAAAAGTTGCAGTTTAAAGTACGAACATTTATTTTATTTTTATTTTTTGAAATTTTCATAAATTTTTCATGTCATTGTATAAACTTTTTCTTTAAATTTTCGCTTTACGTTGGAATTCTCATTCATTTAATTTTTTTTTTAAATATTTTTTCAAAAATTATATTAACCATCAACAAAATGAAACTTCAGATTTTTCTATTTGAAAGCTTTTACGAATTTCTGCAATACAAGGTTAGTGACTTTTTGTTTAACTTTTTTTATAATACAAAATTTTGATAAAAACTGAACGAAATTTTAACTGCATTCTTTTATGGTAGTTTGGTTTTGTTAAAAATATGTTACGCTGCTAAAAATACGCTTAAAGCTTACAACTTACCTGTAATCACCAAGCGTCCCTTTGTCGCGCTCAATCGTGTTTCGCCAGTTAGACGATGCTTGGTGCGGCACTGATAGCTTTTGTAACCATCTTCGGGCCCCACTTCGCGTATGTGCAGTTCACCAGAGGGCAAAACCAAATATTTACCATCTGGTTTCGGAAACGCGGCACAAAATAAATAACGAGTAGAAAAAATAAACACATTAGAATGTCTTTAATCTTGATACGTTGAATAATATGTATGTACTACATAAAAATACATGCACGCACTACTACACTGTAAATAAATATTGAGATTTTTCTTTTTAAATTTCGTGAAATATTAAATTTTATGGAATTTTTTAATCAAATACAATTTATTGCAGTTACAAACTCTCTTACTATTTAAAGTGTAGCACTGCTAGAATTAAATTATATTTTATATAAAAGCATGCATTTTAAGTGTGTATATTTATTTGAAAAACTTTAGTGTATTTTCAGTTGACAAACGTTAAAATTGTGCTACGTACATATTTAAGCATAATTTATTAATAATGCCATAATAATATACATATTATCATTAATTTTTTTAATATTATTATTTGAACAAGCCTTTTTTATAGTTTACAAACTTTTATTTACTTAAATATTAATTTAAATGTTATGCAAAACACACTATCGTTTTTCAATTACTTACTTATCTACAACACTATGACTAAGCAATAACTAATATAAGCATTTACAACAACACGTTAATAGTTCGAATAACTTATTTCCACTTCATTTACCGGTAACGCGTGTAACTATCAAGTGGCAACACACGTAAAAAATATTTATATATACAAATATATGTGCTTGTGCTATGATTAGCTTTATTAACAGTTAGTTTAAATTTTAATGTAACTTCATATATGTTGCTTCTGGTTTACCTAATCTGAGATATTTTTTATAAATTCAATTAATTCGACAGCTTTAAAATTAATTCAGGCAATTCAACAAAATTCGTAGTTTTTACGCTGTCACCCAAAGTGTGACCCGATATCGATTATTTGGTTTGCAAATGACTAGCGAGATTAAGGTGTGTTTACAAAAGCGAGGCACTCACATGATTAATTTTTTAACGTATATTATTATATATACATTACGTTCTCTAGATTATTGCGTATGGAAATAAATTTTCTCAGGTTAGCGATTAATGCGAGTTTATCTTATACATGTAAAAATGGCGCCATCATGCTTTGAAACGACCAACAAAAATGCCAATAAAGTGCATTTCATTCACATACAATTTTTATTTTGATATGTCGGAAGTATATATATATACATTTTTACAGTCATTAATTTTTGAATAATTTAGTAATTAATTTAATTGTTATTAGCATTTTTGTTACAATTATTTACATTATAAATACAAAATCTACAAAGCTATGCTACATGAAGGGGATTTTCATGGGTAAAGGTAGGCTGGACGAACCCTTGGAACATTTGGATGACAACAGGAAGTTTTAAGGAATCGATAGGAATGAAAAACGAAATAAAATAAAACAAACGAAGAGCAACAAAATATAAGAAATAGTGAACGGGGAATCATTTATGAAAAACAACTTGAAACATAAAGTAAGAACAAGCAGAGAAAATAAAAATAAAAGCAGATTGAAAACGCGAAAAGCCTATGTAAATATCCTAGTCGAATCAACTCGAAAATGTCATTGTGTACATATGAAAGCTGCGCCAGACTGTAGTATACGGGACAGACAATTTGATTTTTGTGGAAGCAGGATAATGCATGGAACGTTTGTGAACAAATTTAACACAAAAAGAAATGTATTACGTAATTCCTTTAACTATTTCACACCATTAAAACTTGCGTTATTTACCGCTATCAAAGTGTCCGACGCCATCGTTAGTGGTGAAAATTTCGCGTTCTTCATCTTCCACCCATGACGCGACTGATATGAAATCCGCCACAAAACTGGGTATATGACATTTGAGTATGGCGCTGTTGCCACGCAACACAGCCTCATCCATGACATTTACCGTATAGGATTGCGGAACGACTATAAAGCGGGAAAGCATGTGAAGTAGAAAAAAGAAGCATAATGGAAGAGGTAAAATGAGAAGCGTTGTCTTGTAATGTTGCAGTAATAAAATTAAATAAAAATCATTAACTAATAATAGATTTAGTATAACTTTTAGGAAGAGAAAACTAGAAAATCCCCCTCAAATTAATCACAACTTAAACGAAATTTAAATTCAAACTACCGGCGCTAGTTTTTGTGTAGACACCGCCGTCAGTATCAACCCAATCGACAATATCTATATGATCGGCGACAAAAGATGGCGTTTGACATTTGAAAATGGCGGCATTGCCCTTAATAACATACTCATCGTATACTTGTGACTCAAAGAATTGTTTGACAACTGCAAAAGAAACGGAACATCGATTTGGTAACAGTGAAATTGTAATTTAATTCACACATATGCAAAATATTTTTAAGTCAAAGTGCAACGCTGCACTGCTGATAAGGAACGGAAGGCGTGGGAAGTTGGAGATTACACAAAAAGGTATGTCAACTGACAACCAACAAGCGCAAAACGTTTTCTTACTAGTTTACTTATATTATTAACTTCTTTCTCTTCAACACACGAAAAATTACCCATCAAGTCATTGCTTTCTGCGCGCATAAATTCAACATTATCCTCATCCACCCACGATTCTACGGTTATAAAATCGGCGACAAAAGATGGCACCAGACACTTGAGTGTCGCAGAGTTGCCACGTAAAACAAATTCATCGATCACACGTGTTTGATAAAACTGATGCACGACTAAATGAAAACAAAACAGAATAGCCAAAGTAGTGAAAAAGGCAAATAAAATATACTATTGGTTGAGAAATGGGATAATATGTATAAAAAACACATCGGAACAAGCGAAAAATTTTTTGTTTTGCATTTAATGAATGTTTTCGCAATACCAGTTTCTTCATCAGTGCCCGGATAATAGTTTCTATTCTCTGAGTCCAGCCATAGATCAACAAAGACAAAGTCTGCCACATATGAGGGTATCTCACATTTCATAACCACTGAATTGCCACGTATGACATATTCATTATCGGCTTCGGATTCATAGCTTTGAATGACAACTGCATGTACGTACCGGTGGATAAAAACGTGAAAATGGAGAGAAGTTAAGCAGAAAGTTAAAAGAAATGAAATGAATGGAACACTAAAAACAATTGCAAGGAATGGAAGGGAATTACGTGGGAAATTGGTACATAAAACAAACTTAAGTACGATATGCACGCCATTAAACGAAACATTTTGACATTCAAGCAAATACCATATGCTTGCGAGGAATTGCTACGCCATAATTCCACACCCTCCTCATCCACCCAGGCTTCGATCTGTACAAAATCCGCAACGAATGAAGGTATTTTGCACTTTACCACCGCTGCATTGCCTTTGATCACATACTCATTCTCCGCTTCCGTTATGTAAAACTGAGAAACGACTGTTAAAACAAAAGCGAAATTTTTTGCAAAAAATGTAAATGTAACGCAAAGAAAATACAAAAGGACAGTATGTGTAAAGTATGGTGGGGGGTATGTAGGAAGTTAATATTAGCTGACTTTTAACTAATCAAACCACTAATTAAATTGGGAAAAAGCAAAAACAGCGAACCGTAATTATCGGAGAATGTCAATATGTTATTATCCTCATCGATCCATGATTCCACGCGCACAAAATCAGCTACGAACGAGGGTATAGAACATTTCAGCACGGCAGCATTGCCTTTAATCACATACTCAGTCATGATTTCCGCCTCATAAAATTGATTGACGACTATAAGATGGGCACAAAAAACCAAACGCAAATAGTGAACGAAAAAGCAAAATAGAAAAAATATTTTGAGAGCAAAATAGAAAAATATTTCTTGAGAGGAGCAGCGTAAAAATATAAGTTCATTTTGAAATCAGCAGGAAACTACTTAAACTATTATGTGCGTGTATAGCGTGCATAACAAGTTCGACTGTTGTTTTTGCCAACCATAATTGTCACTGTGCCGCAAAACATTGTTCTCTTCATCAATCCACGATTCAACGCGCACAAAATCCGCCACAAACGATGGTATGGAACACTTTAGTACCGCTGAATTGCCCTTAATCACATATTCCATTAAAATATCGGCGCCGTAATACTGATTGACAACTAAAAATGTGCATATGATAGTATTATTAAAAACAAAGGCTCGCAAAAATATAGCGCAATAAAAAATAGTTGAATTTTGAATTAGGTTATGTGAAAGAAGTAAATATTGTGGAGAGTTTAAGGATTGGCTTACACAAAATGTTAACAACGCGCCACCAAAAATGAACTTATCAAATACAGCTACTATTATTTATAGCTAACAGTAATTTGTTTATTTAAGGAGTTTTTATACCAAAACTATCGGTGGGCAGAAATTCAGTGCCCTCACTGGACAACCATGCTTCCACTTTTACGAAATCAGCAACAAAACTTGGTATGGTGCATTTTAAAACCGCTGTATTGCCCTTAATGACATATTCAGAAACAACCTCAGCCTCGTAATACTGATTTACCACTGGAAGTTGTCGATACATAGTGGATAGAATAAAATAAATACGTTTTGGCAGCTAAAATTAAGCGATATATGTATTTATTGAGTTCTAAATGAAACGTAATTTATTGAAAAAAATAACAGTAGATTAATAGAAGGACGAGTGGTGGATAGGTACAAATTTAAGTCAACCGTATTGCCATTAAAATCTAATTCCATATTTCAAAATAATTTTTTTTTTTTTGCAATTTTCCACTACCGGTGCCCTGTTGTTCATCCAACGTTGCATACAATTCGCCGCTTTCGTCCTGCCACGATATGACCTGCACGAAATCCGCCACAAATGAGGGAATTGAACACTTAAGCACAGCGGCGTTGCCACGTATTACATATTCATTATTCACTTCGGATTCGTAGAATTGTTGTACAACTGTATTAATATGAAGAAATTGCAAAAAAATGCACAATGATGATGAATCTCTCGTGAACTCTCGAACTTGCATGTAACGGCTAAATTTTGTACGAATGAATTGCAGCGCGCCGGCAGTCAATGTTTAATTATATAAACCATGCGGCGACAATTACGCTAATGTTGTTACCACTTTTGCGCCATGGTTAGGCGCATACGAGAACACTGCCGAACGCATACATGAAGCGAAGAAATGTGGGAGAATGCAACGAAGCGTGTGAGCGTCTGGCGCGCTCTCGTGAGCTTACATTATAATTAAGCTTGCAACTTTTCACATGTACCGCTCGTAATTGAAATGAAAATCACGATAATCGCTTATGCGCGTAATTCGCACGCTTCCACAAAGCATTCTAATGATTCTAAATACTCTTAAAGGCGCATCGCCTTCCCCTATCTACCTATCATATCTATAATTTCGAATGCTAATGCTCGCGTGTGACCGCTACATCAATTAAGATTTAAATATTTATCAATGGCGACTTGCTGTAGGAATGCTATGGGTGGCACTAAAAACTTGGGAAGAATCATGAAACGCGTTCAAACTTCATGGGAAGAATGTGGAAGTGAAATAAGTTATTCGTTGCCTGTTTTAAAGTGCAAAAAATTTTGTTTTTCAATGTGAGAGGTTAACGACTGATAAAATATGATTAATTAAATGCAAGTGTAGATACAGGTGAGGAAACAAAACCAAAAATATGTAGTAATTATATGAACGGAACTGAAAGATGGCACAAAAGACAGTGGATGTAAAAAATAAAATTGTTACTAAAGAAAATATAAAGTAATGGCTTTGAAATATTATTCGGCATAGTTTTGGATTGGAATTGAATATAGCAAAACATGTATGTATGCATAGAGAAAATGAAACCCCCTCACGGCAACTTGTAAATATTCTGCGTAAAAATCAAAATAGACTGAAAAAAAGTAATATATAGCAACCATGTAGAAAACATTTTACATGTTTGGAAATAAGGTATATTTTTTACAAATTTATGTTAAAAAACAAAACATTATTATACAACATAACAGCTAATACAAAATTTTTAAACAGGAAGAGGGCAAAAAATATGCTCTGGGCTTTTTTTTGAAAGAAGTTTTCGATTTATCATAAAGTCGGGCACTAGTTCGTATCGTGTTAAGCAAATGTATATTTACTAAATATATTTATAACGAAAAATCTTTACCTAAGTAAATTATTTTTCGACTCATATATTGCAATTGATTTAAGTGTTAAGTTTGAACAGGCCTTTAGCACTAAATTACATGAGCATTACTTTAGTTTGACAATCGATAGATTAAATGAGAAAAAAGTATATTAAAAAAGTTGTGCAAAAATTTATATCTTTCCAAAATAAAATTTTGGTAAAAACTGGAATTCGGAATTTATTGCTTTACGGTTATGTGGTTGTTTCTTGCATTAGATTTTTCTTACCGATTTCAAGTAATATTTTTAATAGTATTTCTAACATAATTTTAAAAAAAGTTAAATATTTTACACTCCAAGTTTGCCCAACTTTATTTTTTTTTCACCTCAATATTTAATATAATGCACGTACATACTAAGCAGGCAAACATAACCTAAAAACTTCAAACTTGCTTGCACCAACCATATTCAGTGCCTGGCAAAAAGTCCTCATTTTGATCCGTATGCCAAGACATAACACTGACAAAATCCGCAACAAACGAAGGTATTTCACATTTTAAAACAGCTGCATTGCCACGAATTACATAAGCTTTATTTACATCGGTATCGTAATATTGAGCAACAACTGAGGGACGATTAAAAACAATAGAAACATATTTATATTAAATTGAACATAGTGGAACAGAATTTAAAAAAAACGTTAAAGGAAACAGAAATTAGGGAAAAGGAACTTCCCGTTGTCAGTTTAATAAGGGATTAAACTAAACAGCTGATTTTGATGACTGAAAATAATTTGTGGTATGTAAGTTGGTGAGTTTCAATTGCTATGATAAACGCTATGTTGTGTTACTCCTTGCAATTGA